ACGGGGGAGGTCGGACTCGACGTCGTGTGATGGGCACCAGCGCAGTTGGAGCTCACAGCGGGCCCAATGGCAGCGCACGACGCGGCCTTGCAAAGGCGCCCCGCGGCGAAGCCACGCCGGGGCAGTCCCGGACGCCCCCGCGCGAAGATACGCCTGAAGTTCCGCCTGCATTCCCGCCTCGGCGATCGAATCCTCCATCACGGCTTCCAACCCCTGTGAGGTGATAATTCGGATCCCGGGCGAGGTCCCGCCCCCGCGGACGCCGCTTACCGCTCCGGTAATATAATCCCCCTCGCGAATAACCAAGGCCTGGAGGGGATTTGAGAGCGGGATCCCGCTACGAGGGCTTAACGCCCCCGCAGTTATTGGATCTTGGCGCTTGAAAAATATTTTGGATTCGTCCTGGGTAAGGAAAATCACACCGGTGGTCCCGAACATCACCTCTCGGGTGGACAGCCGACGGTAGGGGCGGCGCTGGCAGGACTGACCACCCGCAATCAACTCCTCCAAAATTAACTCCAACTCCCGCTCGCCACCGAGTTTTTTGCACGCCAAAGGCATTTTGGCCTGAAGGAGGGCAAAGAGCTCTTGCTGATTCGTCCGTTTGTGGATGATCTCACGCCGTTGAGGCGTGGCCCTCTCCAGGAGCTCGACCAAGGCCAAAAAGGGGCACGAGGTGGAGGGCAGGGGGTTCGCGCCCCCCTTCCCCGCGCGTTCGTCGTCCGGCTGGGTCATCGCAACCACCGCCGCGAAGTTCGCGAGGTCGTACCATTCAAGTGGAACCAGCGTCCGATCGAGCGGATTCCACGGGGAATTACCAAACGACCCGAAGCCCTCGGACCCGGTAGGGGCGGGAATCCGAATCACCGGGCCCGCATTCCGCGCGATGGTTGGACCAAAAAGCTCGCGGAGAAGTTCACTCAGTGCCGCGCGGGAGGATGGGCGGCCCTCCCCCCGCAGTCGCTCCTGAAGTCGCCGCGCGCGATTCGGGCCGAGCCCCGGGACGAACGCGAGCTCGGACGCAAGGCCCTCCTCGTCGTCCACCCACACTCCCGTAGAGGCCACCCAGAGACTCATCTCCCATGCGAAGCGTCGGTAGAGTTGGGCCTCCTGCCCGCGATGGGCAGCCTCGGTAGAAGTGAAAAAAAGCCGCAAGATGGTTTGTTTGGTGTCAAATAAGGCCCCGATCACCTGCAGAGGGTCCTGGACGTATCGCCCGAGGGCCATCGTCGTCCGCAGGGCGAGATCCCCCGTGGCAGCCTCGGCCTCGGCGAGGCGGGTCGAGGCGTAGAAGCGCGGGACCTCCAGAAGGGCCCAAACCAGCGGGATCGAAACCCTCATCGTAGGGTAGATCCGATCCCGCATGAACTCCTCGAGAGAGCGCATCAACGCGAGCGACCGCGGCCCGCTCGCGGCCACAGCGACCACCGCCGGGCCATACGCCAAGAACAGCTTCTCGAGTTGAATTCGCTGCTGCAACGCAGCGGCGCGGCCGCTGGGGGAGCCCACGGCGTGCTCCCCCCACCGCGTCGACCCGACCAGCCTCCCTCGCTCATCCAAAAACGCGAAGGTGGTCCCCCCGTGATCTGCGGCGTAGGCCGCACAAATCCGCGTCCGTCGCCGCTCCCCCTCCTCCTCAACGGGCAGGGCCTCCACGACGTTCCACCCCGGCTCCCACGCGAGCTCCCCCTGGGTGAACCCCTGCACACACACCCTAGTAGGCACGTACGGCCCCTGCGCGCAGAGCCCCCCGAGCCGTCGCAGCCACCCCCACTCGACCTGCTGTCGGGCCTGGGCGTGGAGGGCGGCTTTGACACGCGGCACAACGGCATCGAGGAGGTGCACCCCCACCAGCCCCATAACCCGCGCGCGCTCGGCGTGCCAGTCGTCCCCATCCCTGTCAGGGGGCCGTTGGTAGAGCCCCCCGAGATGTAACAGCCGTGCGAGGTGGGCCTCGTCTAGGACGTAGTGCAGCTCCACCCGGCCCTGGCGCTCGAGTTGGAGGAGGTCCAGGTACGCCCCCGGGCTCTCCACGAAGAAGACCGCCAGGGGGTAGATCGCGTCGCCGCGGTGGAGGCCGCGGTGGGTCACGATGAGATCCCCTTCCGTGCGGAAGAGCTCCATCGCGCGACGGCACAGCACCGGCAGCGTCGTGAACTGCTCCACCACGGCGCTGTTGAACAGAGACAGGACAACGGCCCCGCGGCGAGGGGGAGTCAGGCGTGCCCCAACCTGCTCCGCCCAGGTCGAGAGCGGGAGGTCTTGCGCGGAGTAAGACGGGCAGAGGTGGATCGGCGCGTTCGCCAAGAGGTTCTCCTGGTATTGAAGTCCAGTGATGCTGTACTCCTCGAAACGGTCCTCAAGACCGAGGGCTCGGACGGCGTGGAAGGCGCCGCGCTGGGAGAACCCCATCAACAGCTGAACAAAGCGATGCCAAATCACCACCTCGACGGGGCTCTCGAAGACAATGCGGTCAAGAAGGACCCGCTGATCCTGCACGCGAGCCTCGGTGGCGTCTTTCAGCATTATCAGCATCTGCTGCCTGGAATTCTCCAGTTTGTGGCAAAGCACGTCGAGCTCCAGAATGCGCACGAGTAGCCTACCCAACTCGATAAAACAGGGCTTTCGTTGGGTATAGGAGCTTTCGACATGGCTATAGGGCCAGGACGGGTCGTTTTCTCCAATGCAATTTGTACTCCGAGAAGCGAAACCGACATAGGTGTCGGAGATAATCGGCCGTTGACGGCGCCCCGTGAGGAGGCTGTAGGCGTAGGACGCGACCGGGACGCTCTGCTCCGCCGCCTTCACCAACTCCGAGCCCTCAAGAAGGGCGCCCAACAAGGGGTGGAGTTCGGTTTGGTGATAAAGCATAAGATAAGCCGGCTCCAGATGTTCACGGGTCATCTTTGCGAGGGCAAAGGCAATTGCGACGAGCACAGGTTCATCCTGAACTTCAGACAACGCGTGGCTGGCCAAGGCGCAGATCCGCGTGTTGTGGGCCAGGGGCTGGCCCGCATTTCGAAGTTGGCGAAGAATCCAGTAGGCCTCGTGGTCCAACGGGATGTCGTAGGTAAATCCCCCTTCCAGCGTCTTCGGGCCTAATAATAGCCGTTTTTCCAGCTCTTCGATCTCATGAAGGCGCTCGGGAAGGGTGTCCGAAGGGTTTGTCTGGTCCTCCAATCCAAGACGCTCCAGCTCGAGCCCGATGACCCTTTCGGTGGGGTACCGATTCGCACGGGAGTCCCCCTTAGTCGGGGCCCGCTGCATGGTGTCTATCCAATCTAAAAACTCTTGATCCTGCGCTAGTTGGTCGTCGTCTTCGTCAAAATCAACGTCGTCCTCTTCCTCATCATCATCAAAGTGCTCCTCTGGATCCTCACCACGCAGCTGTCGTTCCTCTAATCGAAGTTCTTCCTTTAGACGCTTCTCACGCTCCTTCTCCGCCACCGTACGCAAACGCCGTTGAGGTGCATTATCTTTTTCAGCCGTGCTGTCGCCTGGAAAGCTAAAAATGACCTCCATAAAGGTCTTAGATAGACGCTCAGGGCATAAATAGGGATTTGTAAGATTGGTTACCCACAGAGCACCTGCTAGAACATCTTCAATCGATGTTGCCATCAATTTAGCACCGTCGTCGTTCTCGGAAGACATGTGTTTAATAAAAACCAAGAAATGAACAAAGTGATGCTTAAGGTTGTAAATAGAAGAAAAGAAAAAGAAAAAATTAAATACTGCAATCTATAATACGTATGAGCGAGCAATATAAGTAATTAATAAAATTAATATAGAATTCAGAGTAATTCTTCAATAAGAATTTGTTTTACCAAAAGAGTGTATCGGGATTTACTCTATCAGCTAATTGAGCAAGAATTAGAAAAATAAATTATTTAAAATCAGCACCTAATGGCAATCAATATAAGTAAATCAACAAAAAAAAACTAGTTGAAACTTATTGTAAAAGTAGTAACAATAAAAACTGAAAACTATATAATGACTAGAATATAGATAAAGAAAAGAGAATTTCCGCACCAATAACGATTTATGTGCGAAGATAAACTGTAAACATTAGACTCTAGTTTGTCTATAAAGAGTTTTCCATATTATCGAACTGCTTCATTTATGATGCCTTAGCTAATGGTTTTACTAGTTCACACATAAAAAGCTCTAAATAGTTCGAAAAATGAAGTAAGTTCGAAGAGGTCGCCACTGCTGGAGGATCCTAGGTGGCATCATCGGTTATTAATTGTTCATCCGGATCTCCACTCACTGCCTTCCAAAGCTGTATCCACCACCGTCTCGAAATTATAACCGATTTACCCTTCGAGATCATCATCACCAGGACGGATTTGTCAAAACAGATCGGCATTATCACTTATTAGACCTCATAAATGTCTATAGCAAAAGAGTATATGTATATATATATATATATCAGAAATGTATGATTTCTGCGAAGCACAATGTCGTTTGAATTATTACTATCCTAAGTGAATTACAGTGTTATTGGTGACAAAATGGAAGTGATTGTTTATCATTCATAATGCGCCCATTATTTTATTATATTCAAACAGAACAGAAAATAGGTAGTCATGAAAAAGCAGATAAAGTGACTTTAAAATGTTTACAGAAAAAATATTCATGAAACAAATTCATAACAAGATGAATTCGACCTTTTTTTTTTTTATAAAGGTAAATATGAAAAAGTAAGCACACAGCTAACTTTGGAGTCTCAGAAATTGATTGTTACATA